ACCCGCCTGCCTCTGCCTCCTGAGTGCTGGGATTAAAGGCATGTGCCACGCCCGGCTACCTAGGGTTTTTATATGAGAAAAATAAATTGAATTAAGTCTGTTAAAAAAAAAAAAAAAAGGAGTGCCAACCCTAGCTGAGGACAACTGGCAACTGGTGGCTGCTGGGAGAGGGGACTGGGTTTTTTATGTGATGCTACACTGGGGAGGTGAACCAGCCTCCAGTGGGCACTCACATGAAAGGGGATGTAGAAACACAAATTCAACTTAACAGTCTTCCAGACAGCTAGTCATTACTCATAGCAACTCGCAGCAATGGTGACAGGCATTCACAAGTCCTGTGCAAGCTCAAACCAGACAAAATCCCAGCACAGCCATGGGGAAGTGGTTGAGAAATCCCAACCCAACCTAAGGAACTTTTGGTGATTGATGGCTGCTGGGAGGGAGAAAGACTGCCTTACAGGGTAGGGACTCTTGTTGGGCCCAGTGAATGGATTCACACCAAGGGACATTGAGGGGCATAAATCACATCTATAGGCAATATTATATATGAGAGCTCATTAAGCTATGGGGGGCAGTGGCAGAAAGTGGAGGAGCATATCTAAAGGCCATCAAACTATATTGTATGAAAATTATAAAAATTCAATTAAAATGCAAATATATAGTCATGAGTTCTTCATGTATCCCATATAAAAGTTCTTCTGAGTTATGCTTTACAAATACTTTCTCTTGCTGTGCATGGTGGCGCTCACCTTTAGTCCCAGAACTTGGAAGACACAGGTAGGTAGATCTCTGTGAGTTCAAAGCCAACTTGGTCTACATAGCAAGTTCCAGGCCAGGCAGGGCTACAAGGAGACCGCCCCCCATCTCCAAAAAAGAAAAAAAAAGACAACCAGATTATCACTTTGCTTACTTGATGGTCTTCTCACATGTGCTGTAAATTTTGATGAATTTTAATTCATCTTTTCATTTTTTCCTAACTCAAGGTCACTATGATTTTTCCCCATGTTTTCTGATATTAATATTTTAAAAAATATTTTATTTATATTTTATGTGTATGAGTGTATTGCCTGCATGCATGTGAGTGCACCCGTGTTGTGCAATGCTGCAGAGGTCATAAGAGGGCTTTGGACTCCCCTGGAACTGGAGTCAAGGATGGTCTGTAGCCACCATGTGGGTGCTGGAAATTGAACGCGGGTCCTCTACAAGAGCAGTCAGTGCTCTTAACTGCTGAGCCATCTCTCCAGCCCCAATATTAATATTTTTTATAGATCTGGCTTTGGGAAGCAGTTGCACAATCACTGATCCCTTAATTTTTACACAAGGTATGAGGTAGGATTCTAAATGAATCATTTGGCCTATTTTATTATTTATGTCCTTATGTTTCCTTTGGATTCAAGAGGAAAGCTTACTTTTCCAATTTCTAAAATTTCTACTTTTTCATTATATTTATTCAAAACTATCTCCTTCTAAGCAGTACTTTAGCTTCTCCTATATAATACTTCCTTCATCATTCAGCAAAAGGTAGGCTGCTATAATTTTAATAGCAATTCCCCTTTGGCTTTTGGATTATTCAGAAATGTGTGGCTTACTTTCCAAAGTTTTTGGACTTTTTAGCTTCGCTTTATAACTCCCACTGTAAATATATTAAGTGACTTGCAGTCATTTGTTGGAGTGTCTGCATGTGGCAATGTGATGGAGCTAAGGTCCCAGTCACACCTGTCATTGCATAAACACACCTAAGATGATTCCAGCCATGGCTACTGGGTATCTCAGCTGAACCCCCTGATTGAGCAGCAGGCAAGCCATCCCTGCACTGTGCAGGGTTTTATACATCTCAGGCTGGCCTTGAATTTACTATGTAGCCAAGAATAACCCTGAACTTTTATCGTCTTACCTCCAAGTCCCAGAGCTGAGACTACAGGTGTGTGCCACTACGCTGTTCTGGAGAGTGGACCCGGGGCTTCATGCATGCTAGGTCAGCACTCCACCTACTGAACTACATCTGCAGGCCTCGTTTAAACTTTTGAGTTACTGTTTGTGAAAATAATACAAGGTACTATGCTGTGGAGTTTACAGAGCAACAGTAAGAGATTGTGCTGTAGGGCAGAGGGTTACAGGAGGAACTGAGCCCTTTTTTAATACTCACAGAACTGAGAACTTGAGTTACATTAATTCTAGCCTAACATATTTCATAGACATTTGGAACTGGCCAAGACTAGGCCAAAAGTACTGACATTTTACAACTGGAATTCTGGTAGTATTTTGTTCTTGGAACAGAATGTCACTAAGGTTATATCTAAGACATTTGTGCCACTGTTTTCCTATGCTAAAATTTACTTAATTTTTATATTGTGTTTATACAAAAATAAAAAGTGGATATTCTCATGGAAACGTAGTGTTGAAGGTAAAGTTCAGTTCTATAATGCATAAGCGGATACCAAATAACTATGTGATTTCTCACTGAAGGAAAACAAGTACTTCCAGAGTAAACAGGAAGGCTTCCGTGCCTCTGTCCACTGATTCGGACGTGTGCCACCCAGTGCTTTTGTTTCTGGCTGTTAGCAGGGCTCTCCGGTAAGCCAAGGTCCTCTCTCAAGAGGAGGACTTTGTTTGCAAGGCCGATAGGCAGAAAATTTTAAAAGCACTTTTTGATCTTGAGCAATTAATGTAAAAATGCAAGGACAGAGTTAAAGAAAAAGGTCTTTATTTATGGTATCAACTGGGGTCAGAATAAATAATTCAATATACTAGTGCGACAACAGATGTTCTCATGCATTTAGCACACGTTAACTAGAAGGCTGGCTGGCAGGGACCAATGTGGGGAAGTGTATGTGGCAATACAGTGAAAGTTACAGTGTTAAGACTATCAAACAGCTTCTCTTTTCTATCATTTTAAAAAATACAACCCTACACACCTGTGAACAAATGGGAAGTTCCCATATACTTACTACTTTTTGGAAACATGCCAGAGTTAAGTCAGTTGCCAAAGGACCTGGGATGATAATTTGTTATTTATCAGTCTTTCAAATGAAAGAAATGAAAAACAAAAATGTCTTAGAGCAAAATAGTCTTAGAAATGAAAAACAAAAAACAAAAATTCCTGTATTTGTATGGAGGCTGTTAATAAAACCTCAGTAAAATGGTCCTGAATGAAATAAAACTCTAAATAGTTTGTAGAGACTGATTTTCATTATAAAAATGCTATCATGTTTATAATTTGATACATTAACAACCAATTATCTGACTGCAAAAGTGATGAACTTTGATTAAAACTTAATTTTGCTAGTGAATTTCACAGGGTTAAAATAGGATAACTTTTAACATAAAGCTTTAGAACAAATAATTTAAACATATTTTAAACACTGAAAATATGTTTTTAATTATTATTTACAGTTAGTCAATGATACCAGTGTTTAGCTTAATTTAGCCAGTCAGGAGTCTCTTTTCAACACCTATTACAATTTTCCTTATAAATACTTAGGCAACTCAATTGAGTGAAGGAGATCGATCTGTGGTCCACAGCAACTCGATGTACGGCCATTTGGTTTGGAGACAGCGTTTAATAGGAGTGTCATCTGTCTGTAGCATGGGGTCTTCAAAACCCATAACCACTGCAGTCCCTTCCACATACATTACCTGTTGAGGAAAAAAAGCCACCAAGGTCAATTAACATTTTTAGAAAAGTCTCCTGTGGAATACAGACAGCTTTATAAGCAAAGTAAATTTTTCCATACTTCTTTATGTGGGTTACATCTACTACTGTTTTGATAAGAATTATGAGCATGAATATCTGCAACATGAAGATAAATTTCTAAATGAGATAAGGATACAAATTTTAATTGCTAGCTAAGTGGTAAATTTTAGAATTCAAGGTTATGATAAAAAAAAAGGTATGTGAATCATAAACTACAAACTTTTGGATAAATGAAAAAAATTATTTTTCAAATGACAGACAGAAGTGAGGACTTCTTTCCAAGGCCTTCTATAGCCTGTCACTGCAGCTGCACGGCTATGGCCCGAGGCACTCAGAAGCTCCAGGACCGCACCTTTCCTTTCACCTTTCCTTTCCGTTTAAGGATTGCACGCATATTAGAATGCTTCTGCACTACAATTACTGAAGGTACTTCATATTGCATGAACAATAAGAAGAAAAAAATATCACAGGATTCTGGGACAGACACAGAATTCATGGAAGGATGACAGAGCAAATCCCTGTGGGGGATAAATTGGTGATTTAGCACAGATAAATTGGTGAAAAGACACCAGAAAACATGTTTTTATTTTTAAGAAAATTCTTAAAAAAATCATTGACATAGTAAACCAACAAAACTCTAATTCAGTATTAAGGACTCAATGTGTACAGTAAAGCACTTAGTCCCTTTGTTCTTTTTGGAATCAAAAAACTCAGAACTCTGTATCAAAATACAGACTTCCTTCTTCCAGAGTGTATATAATTACTTTCACACATTCAGTGGCTGATATACACGCCTACAATTTTGTTGTACCAATACAAGAGCCATAAGCTCTGTGACCAATGAGCCAAAAGAAACAAGTTTATCAGCCATAAATGAGAATTTTTTTTTTTTTTTGTCTTTTTGAGACAGGGTCTCCCTGTAGCTCCAGCTGTCCTGGAACTCACTATGTAGGCCAGGCTGGCCTTGAACTCACAGAGATCTGCCTGCCTCTGCCTCCCAAGTGCTGAGATTAAAGGTGTGTGCCACCACGTCCGGCTAAATGAGAATTCTTTTAAAAACACATTAGATGTAGAAATAGAGTGTTGTATTACTAGGTCACATAATTTGGTTTTATAAGTCTCACTTTTTAGAATACTACAAAGACATTAAAAGTGAAATACATTTTTCACCTTAAACTTACAATTCAGTTTTAAAAATTCTCCTATGAGTAAAAGTGGCTGTTCTGAAAAGCTGTCTGTGAGGAATATAACTCAGAACAGGACCTATTTTTTTTTTTGACCAATAAGAGCCTCAGATGCTCACAGCATCAAACCAGGAGTGCCCGAGGAGAGTTCTGTGACCTGAGTCTGTGGCCTCCACTAGCTCTTGCTGCTTTCCTTGCCTAGTGGCTGAACTTAACCTAGCAGTCTGCTCTGCTCTCTCAGGACCTCAAATAGTACATGACTGAGCACTCGATCCTGTTTGGAGCCTCTATGTAACTTTAAGACATTAGACTTCTGAAGTTAAATGACATGCATGCTTTGCTTTAGGGTTACATACTATGTCATGTTAATATTCCATAGGTCTTGTTTTCTGATCTTTGTGTTAGTAAGTCAGACTCTTTGTCACAAGCATGATTTGAAAACTTACTATACAGACAGCGTGCCCAAGCAGACCAAGGACAGGGTTGGGGTCAGGAACTCAGTTCCACTCCCTGCTCTGTCAGTGACTTGCGGTGTGACTCTGGGTGAGTCACTTAATCTCCCTGTCTCAGAGGCCTCATCTGTAAAATATGGATAATATTTGACTACCTTGCAGGGATTGTGGAGGACAATCAGTATTTAGTGATGACAAAGCTATACACAACTTCACCGTCTAGATGTAGCACTCATGAACACACAAAGAAAGAACATCCAAGTTTTCTTACTGAGAAATTATATTGTTATATATCAGTAAATTGATGAAAAGAATTTTGGCTATATCAAAATGGTATTTCATTATGAAAATAAATTTTAGCCTTTTCATTTTGATTTCACTAAAGTAATATATAATAAGTATAATTTATACTAGGATCTACTTTCTGTAGCCATTCTCCAATTTAGGTACTTTTGCTCTGTTTTGTTTTTTTGAGATGGTCTCCTTGTAGCCCCTGCTGGCCTGGAACTCACTATGCAGACCAGGCTGACCTCTATCTCATAGAGATGCCTCTGTCCATGAGCCCTGGGATTTAAGGTGTGTGCCACCATGCCTGGCTGCATACTTATAAAACCAGCAGGAAGTCCAACTAAAAAGGAAAGCTAGGGGGTTATTCTGTCTAATGTCAGCTATACAGATTATGGCTGCCACTTGAATATATGCAGACACAATAGACTTACCATAAGCACACAAACCATTTCATCCAGAGTGCAGGACTAGGACAAAACTTTTGCTTTGAGCTAGGTTGGTACACCTGGAAGCAAGGCAGCTGTGTGCCTTTGTCCATGATTTACAAAGCAGAGACATAAAACGCTTTGCTTAAGAGCACAGGCTATAGACTAGACTTGCCACGTTTCAATCCCAGCTCCACCATTTTCTAGCTCTGTGGCCTTGGACAAGCTGTTTAACCTGTGCTCAGATCCCTCCTCTGCAAAATGGACATATACAGACAGTACTTACTTCAGAAGACGGTGTGAAACTGAAGACAAAAAACACAATTCTAGGTAAATGCCCAGTATAACCATATTGGTTATTTTTATTTTAAAAATCTTTCTTAATTAAAAAAAAAAAATCTGTTACCTCTTTCTGCATCTAAATGGATCCGTAACGAGTTTCTATGGATTAAACATTAAGTGCTGACCTAGAAACACATCCACATAGCCTGTGGTAGATGCAGATGTTTTGTCACAGTGAAATTATTGTTCCACAGTCCAAAGTAGAGCTAGTTCAGACTGTGTATCGGACAAGGTGAGCATGGCCAGGTCTAATACACATTGCGGGAGTACAGAGACTCCTGGAACACTCTCCTGAAGTAGCGGCTGCAGGGAGCAGACGTGGTCACGCACTCAGTAGTCCAACCACCCAGCAGAAGACAAATGACTATGTGAGTTCTCGTACCTTTTCATTATAATTTGATTGCTTCAATCCATTGTAGTGGTAGACAGTAAAAGATTCTGGACCACTGGAGCCCTATTATAAATAAAGTACTATTAAAATTTAAATTATATTTTTATATAAGGCAATTTCTAATTAGCAACGAATGTAAAATGGAGACTTCTTAAATCCTCATTCTGTCATTGGGAAAACACTTGATGAAACCTGGGGTCGAGTGCCAGGAAACCCAAAAGCAAAAGCTGCTTCTGCCCTTGCGCACATCTTTACCTAGTACCTGTGTCACATTCAAAAAGGACAGACTTCTAAGGAGGATCTCCCAATATGAAATTCTGCTTTATCTCTTTGCAAAAAATTTGCTCCTCAGTGTAGAACAAGGCAATGCTACCTTTATTCAAACTACAGACATACACAGACCAACACCTCCAATTTGGTTCACAATATTGAATCAGTATAAAGAGCACTGTGAGAAATCAAAACATTGGTTGCCTACTGAGACCTTAAAACAATAAATACCCTAAAAATCAGTATCAGAAAACATTCACAGAGGAACAGATAACATTATCCCACTGTTTGAACCTAGCATTCAAGGTCACTGGTGGTCTGAACCCACTGAGAACCAGCTGATTTCCCTCAATCTTCTATACCTACACCCCTTGCCTTCCTGGCCATACCTGATAGAAATAGAATGCACAAGTAACGCAAACTGGGCCAGTGCCCCTCCACAGGACCACTTCCACTTGGGAGGAAGAGAGTTGTTGGCAACTCTTCCTTCAGCTTCTAGCAAAAGATGGGCTGAGAGAACGTAGCTTTTTGAGAGAAAGAAGAGACGGGAGCGGTCAAGGGCTGCCCTAGGCCGAGCCCTCAGAGCCCGACCCGGCCTTCCCTGTGCCGCAGCTCCCGGCCTTCCCTTACACTTTCTCTCACGGATGCCAAAATAACACAGGACTTAATCTTTCAGTCTTACCTCTAACTACTCAATTCTCATAACTCTCTACTTCAGAGAACTATGCCTCACTTTCCCCAGATGTTCCTGACCTTTCCATTCCTTTCTAAAATACCCCTTTCCTTCCTCTGTTCTCATTTTCTAGACCTGGCTCAAACCTCACTTTCCCTGAGCACACTAGTTGGGCTCTTTATCACTTTGGAAGCTTTGTAGTAAAAGTTGCCTGAATAATTAACTTGTGAATAAACCGTATGCTAGTTTGTATTATCTTCAGGGCTGTTTTTCCTGGACGACTTTAAATTTTTAACTACTCTCAACTTTTCCCAACTAAAATCTAAGCTCTCATAAAAGAACTTACGTGGTTGTTTCTTTAATCGTACATAAGGCAGTGTGATTACTTAAATGAGTTATTTGGATCTTGATTTTCAGAATTTATTTTAACTTAAAAAATAAACATTTACTTAATTGAATACAGTTTATATTCTCTAGATGGAATAACTAATCATTTGGCTTATAAGAACAGAAATACCATGAAGATAATGCAACAGTAGAAAATGCTTTTGACTGGGTTGGACAGACCTATCCTGGGCTCTGGGGTCAGTCCCGTAACAGCTGAACAGCTCAAATGCTTTTCTTAAATTCTCTAATCCTCCTTTTCTTCACTACCAAAGTAGGGAAAGAAACTGCCTCAGCATATAAGGTAGACACGGGTGCTCAGTGAATGGATGGCAGCCGCTTCTGCTCTGCTCACTGCGAACACGCTGCCTAGGCAACCTTACAAGCACCTATGTTATCCCCCACCTCGGCTTCTACCACAACTATCTGAAGCATCTGTAAAGATGACTGAAGTTAGAGAAATATTTTCCTGGTTGTCCTTCTAACTCCAATTTTGTACCTTTATTTCATTTATTCCTAGTTAACTAAATGTTTACTGAGCTACCACTGATCTGTTAGGTACAAAGCAGGCCAAGGATCGTGGCCAAAGTGAGCAATAGTGCCAAAATGTACTTTGTGAGTAGGGGCAGAAGGCACCAGTGGTGTGGGCCAAATCGGAAGAGACATGTGACACAGGGTCTCAGTTCTGACAGGACATGAACAGGTGGAGGAGAGAACGGTCTCCCCAGGCAGCTGCTCTCAGAGTTGGGCCCCCATGAAAACCTTCAGGAGGGTTCTGCAAGCACACACACAAACCAAACCCCATCAGCATAGCTCCTGATTCCCTAGATCTAGGGAGAAACCCAAGAGCTTGCATTTCTAATGGGCTCTTAGACACCATGCTCTGAGAACCTGCTGATCTAAAGGAAACCAGGAGCAGGACCGCACACTTTGGGTGCAGGACCGCACACTTTGGGTGCAGAAAAAACAAAAAACAAAAAAACAACATGAATTGTCCGGGCCAATGAAAAAAAAAAAAAAAAACAGGCTCAGAAGAGCAGGGAAATAAGCCAACAGTAGGATGAACCCAGAAGAAACAGAACCACCAAGTGGAAAGGCTCAGTGGAGGGGAACTAAACACTCCTCCACTACCTCCTGGAATACTACCGTTAAGATATTAATTCCTTGAACTAATGAGGTACAAAGCATTACATCACTAAATATAACACACATGCTGCCAAAAGAACTGGTAACCATCTCACTTTGTACAAGTACTTTCCAACCCCCTCAAACAGGACTGTTTCACATTTAAAACAAAATAAAATCAGTATTTCTAATAAAGTTCTGATAATCTTGAAATACAATTAAAGCTACAAATATTCCTTCAAAACCTTGAAATGCTACAAGTAAGCATTTACTGAGTTATCTAAAACTATCAAGAGTCCAAAAAGAAAATTTAAAAACCCCTAATAGTTGAACTACTAACAAATTGGATACCACAGTCCAATAGTACCTTTCCAATGTAAAATAAAATAAATAAATAAATGAACCTGCTTGTTCATGAGTTACCAAGTTAGAAAAAGTTCAGTTACTATACTATGATATCCTAAGTTGCTTTCTGAACTTTATCACACCCACTTTATTCACAATAACAAAGGACCTGTATTAATTATCTGAATGCCTGCAATACTGACACCTCCATGAAAGACAGATTTAAACCAGAGACATCAAATGAAAATTATATCAAAATTAAATAACTATATTTCTCTACGATACTAGAACAAAAATTGGCATTTATATTAGAACAATTTAAACTGTTGGTGTCTGAGGGAGTAACCGTGATATATTTATCCAGCTGAATAGTCAATTGGGGTGAAACACTTCGCTTAGATAACAAAGATGACAAGCATAGGCTATACAAACAACATACCAGTAATGTAGACACAACTCAAGGTGTGAAGACGAATGTGAACTCTAAGAACTACGGCCTCAAAGCACAGCTGAAGACAGGGCCAAACCTGAAACAGCACAACTCCACTAGAAACAAAGTCAGTCTGTCCGTCCTTCCTTCTTCTCAGCTGGAATTCTGGAACTGAGGTTCACCAGCAGGCATTCCCTACACGGGTACCTTTTCTTTCTTCCACAGTGTTCTGAACACAGACGCTAATCTATTAACAAGTTACTGAAAGGAATGAGCCAGGGATGGGAAGGAGCAGCGAAGCCTTATCTTTATTCCAGGCCCGTCTGATTTTATCCTCCTTTAGCCTCTTTTTCTAAAGAAAAGGGGCTCATTATGTGTATTAGTATTACAATAGCCTCTGCCAGTCATCAGACCTCAGAGTATTGCAGTAGTGTACGGATACATGGTGTACGCACACCGTCATTGGAGTACATTGCTATGCCAGAAAAAACAACACGCACGCTCTGGGCACCGAATCCCTGCACATGACATGATATGCGTTCTCTGAGCACTGCATGCTATAGGGGCACACACAAAACACACGCACCCTCAGGGCACTGAATCCCTGCACTGACATGACACGCATTCTCTGAGTACTGCACACGCACCCTCCAGGCACTGAATCACTGAATGACACGACACGTGTTCTCTGAGTACCACACTGCTGTACTAGCACATACATGTACTTCAGACCTTTATGCAACAGTGCTTCCTTGGTCTCACATATGTATTTTAGGACATTTTAGACAAGAAAAAAAAATGCCATGATCACATATGATCATCTCAACCAACAAACATTTCCTTGAATATGTTACCTGATCAGGAAAAAATTCTTGAAGAAATGGACCCAATAATATGATTCCTAATCCTTCTGGATCTAACTTATTCTTCATGAGATTTATACTATAAGGAGAAAAAAAGAAAAACAGTGGACGCCAAATGAGACAGAAGCAAAACATATTTGTTCTTTCATGATTAAATTACTGGTACTATAACATGTTTGGAAGCCAAAATCCTAAGAGCTGTTCTTTTTAGAACTTTAATGACAAATACACAGGAATGACATTTAATTTGCCAAAACCTGGTTATTTTTAAACCAGAGTAATCTGTTACTATTTAAATTTTAAATTATGACAATGACTTTAGAATATTGTTCCTTATTAGGTAAAGCAATTTAAAAACCAAGGCTTATAAATTTAGTCTTGAAAGTTCCCAAAGGCAAATCCTCTGTTTCTAGATATGCCTCAATTCAACCATTAAATGAAGCATTTAACTTTAAAAGATTAAGTCCCAGAAGAAAAAGAAACATGTCAACAAGCACCAGCACATCAGATAATCAAAAACATCTCTCAAAAATGTTACTTTTAAAAACTAATGAGATAGAGGCCTAACATTCTTGGACAATCTAAGTTGAAGGCTTCAGATATCAGACTCGGAGGGCTCGAGTACAGCCAGAGACAGAGGCATGGTCACGGCTGGCCCAGCAGAAGCCTGAGCCGAAGAAGCTCAGTGCTGTCCTTGGTGGTGTTGTGCAGTGGATCAAGAAGGCAGAGAAAGGGGATGCAGTCTCAAGGGGTTCGGTTTCTGTGCTCTCTCATACTGTAGATGCCAAGTTAACTTACTATGACACAGGCAAAGCACTGTGTTTTCGAGTTGCAGGGGCCTTGACTCATCAACTTCCCCAGGACACTTAACGTCAGTTTAATTTGAGCCAATGCTCAGTCTACATAGGCTCTGTGGTTCAAGTTCTTAAGAGATGGACAGCTAGAGGAGGACTGGGGTAGGGGCCAGACATAGTCAGGGTCCAAGGCTCACCTACCCCGGAAGTCCTTTGTTAGGAGACCATCCTCAGAGTTCGGTAGATCTCTCCCCTCTCTCTCCTGTACCTATATCCTGGTTTAGTCAGTTCCAGAATTCTTGCTTGTTTTTTTTTTTTTTTTTTTTTCCAGACAGGGTCTCCCTGCAGCCCAGCTGGCCTGGAACTGCCTATGTAGACCAGTGGCCTTGATCTTACAGAAATCCACCTGCTTCTGTCTCTTGAGTGTTGGAATTAAAGAAGTGCACCACCACACCCAGTCTATTTTTGTTTTTTTAATAATTAGGAGTTAAGCTTTTTTAAAAAATAATTAGGATCTAAGCGGTGTGTTTAAGGGTTAAACTTTGTTTCTTTTCTAAGGTTCTATGAAAATTCCATCTAAGTAGCCCTTTCTCCTGGAAATCGCTAGCCGGGCTCGGTGTCATGTGGCCTCAGTTCAAGATGTTTGAGCATGACTACTGTGCGCTCTCTATCCCCAAGGTCTCTTCTAGTGCTCTACACGGAGGACAGGCCTCTCAGCGCTTGAGGAAGGCCATGCAATTATGATGATGAAACAAATGAAGGCAAAGCTAGCGTTTTCACGGGCACTATAAAGGATGTATACAAAAATCTCAAAAAAAGTCTTTGGAAAGTATTTCAAATGCGTAGTGAAAGGCTTGGGTGTGGAGAAGCAAGCTCGTGTCAGATACATTAACTCTCTGATGAACTAGGATGCTTTTTTCCTAAATCTTTGCTTTATATGTCATATAGGTTTAGCATTTTTAGGAAAGGGGTAAAATGTATAGAATGCTTTAGCCTTGATGGAATCTTCATGAATGAGCAAAATAGCACTTCCAATTCTACTCACTACTCAGGGTCTGAAACCAGGTCCAAGGCTTTCATTACATCTTCTAGAAGGGAGTCAGCAATGAATCCATTATCTGCAAAAATATTAAAGAAAAATCAAAATAAGGACATTTTAAGAAATGATGTCACTGCTGATGAGATTCTGGGGGCAGAAGATCATGATGAGGGGCTGTGAAACATTAGGGAGCATCCAGTTACTTCTGGTGTGATGCTTGTGGTTGCTAGGCACCTGCGTGCTCCTATGAGTTTTCTTAGGCACATGGACAAAGATTTATTTTCAAGAGAAATTCCAGATTAAAAAATCAACCACTTGACAACTCCAGTTAAATTATTTCTTTTTAAGTAGTTTTAGAAGCCTGCAGAATGGATAAGAGTTCTCCTCCACTTAAAATTACAACATAACTTAGCAATTAGGTGCATCTTTCAATAAATAAAGTGACTCTAAATTCTCGTGAAGAAATCCAGTGAAAAGAATTCTTTACAACAAATTCCATTTGTGACAGTGTCATTTAGTTTCTTGACTGTAGTGATCTAGTGCAATTTAGATAACTGATAGCCTAAGAACAAGAAAAGAGTACTAAAACAGGTTTGAGACATAACTAAGTAGATTTAATTAAACAACAAAAATCCAAACCAAACACAACAAAAAACCCCCAAAAGTCCAAAATTGAAATGCAGAGTAGAATCGTAGAATCAAATGTTGACAATGACTACTTCACAGCAAGTATTTTATGGTTTGATTAGAAAGAAACATATAGTGATCAAACTCTGCTGATGCAAAGACACTTTGTAGGGAGTTAGAGATGATGGTAAGTTCTAACAACGCTGTTGTTATGCCTTAAATGAACAGTGCCCAAGTTCCCCAATGCATTTACTCACTCTCATGCAATACCCTCAGAGGCCAGAAGAGGGCATCAGATTCCCTGGAACTAGTTATGTTAGGGATGGTTGTCAGTGGCCATGTGGGTACTGGGATTCAAACCCAAGTCTTCTGCAAGAGCAGCCAGTGCTTTTAACTGCTGAGCCATCTCTCCAGCCTTCTTGCCTCTATTTTAAAGTAACATCCAACATAAAGTCTTTTTCAAGAATTAGATTATTGTTGTCCAAAAGCCCTGCTTCTGAAGCAGCGAACTGGAGAACAAAAGTGAGCAGCTGCTGACTCAGGACGCCTCACATTCCAGTCTAGCAGGAAGGAAAGGAGGTCAAGACTACACTGAGGCCTTTTCTATTTGGAAACATCACAAGCAGTTGGTTACCCACTTGAAGACAGATTGACCTTGACTAAAAGGCTATGAATGATTTGTGATAATTAAAAATGCACATTTTTTTAAAGTGTAGGACTAGAGTAACTCTAATTTATCATGGTACAAATAATTCAAAGGAATAAGAATAGAGAATTTGTTTAAAAACACTTGCAAGAACATTTCAGCTTTGTGAGCTTGTGTCTGATGGAATTTGAAAGGTGGAGGGAAAAATTTATTCTGCTTAGTTAAGTCACAGTTAAAAGCCCAGAATCTATAAATGTGAAACATTTTATTTGACTACCAGCAGACAGGAACAATAATCTGGATATATCCCCATGCTTATTGGCTATCACGTGTATCTACCTGCTACTCAGGGTCCTTAGGAAACACTGTTGTCACTGTGTTCTGACACCTCCACCAACCTGAGTCCACTCTTTTCACCTTTTTGTCATTTTAGAAGGATTCTCATATAGCACGTGCCTAAGAACAAAGCCCACGTCCAAATACTTCTCTCCACAGAATGATATGCTCGATGCAGTATGGCTGGCCTTAAAAGCCTGCACATGAGGCTCTGCTGCCAGAGAAATTGCATTTTTAGGCTCTGAGCCAACAGTTTTTATTATTGTCATTTCTTAATTTGGGATTAATCATGAAACTGAGCCAAGTAATTAAGTAGCATAACAGGCACTGCTAAAATTAAAATTTTGATAGCATTTCAAATGATCAATTAACAATTCAAAATGCACTTTTGATCTGACAACTTATTTGACGTCAAAATACGTAGCAGGTTTCTAAAATCCTAAAGAATTTGAAATAGAGATTACTCAACTTGCCCAAGTAAAATGAGAATCATATCAAATGTTTATTCTACTAAATTGACAACAGTTCAAAGCAAACTAATTTAGAATGGTTAAAGTCTCTATGATTTTAGCCTTCAAAAAGGCACTGTTAGTGTCGGGAGGGGATGAGTGGTTCTTCGGCCAGCATATCCCCAGTTTGCTTCGCTTCTACAGAGCCGTCCATAGCTCTGGGAAGCGATGCACAGCATGCTGCTTTGGCAGCTCTGCAACAAAATGACGACAGTCTCTAATTCCTGGGCTCATGGCAGGGCTTTTATTTGTGTATATATGTGTTCCTGTGGGTGTGTACATATGTGCCTGCGGATGCACATGTATATATATGTATGTGTAGACTGGACACTGATTCAGAGGTCTTCTTCTGATTGCTCTCTACCCTGTTTTTGAGGCAGGATCTCTCACTGAACTTGGAGCCTGCAGATTCAGATGGGCTGGATGGCCAATGAGTTCCAGGGATCAGTCCACCGATGCCTCCCCAGCACTGGGATCACAGGTGTGAATACTCTGGATTCTTGTGTGGGTGTTGGGGACTTAACTCAGTTTCTCATGCTTGTACAGCAAGTGCAAGTGAAGGACTAGAGAGACTCTAATTTATCAAGTTACAAATAATTTGGAGTAATAAGAATAAAGAACTTGTTTAAAAAAAGCACTTGCAAAAACATTTCAGCTTTGTGAGCAAGCACTTTACCAACTGAGCCATCTCCCCAGCAAGCACATGGCAAGGTTTTAACACAATCATAGAGATAAAATGTTTTACAAATTGTAATGTTTTGCACAAATACCAGTCACCATCCTGTTTGGAAGACTAAGAATGTAGGGCTGGGCACAGCAGGGAAGAGCACTTGCTGTTCTTACAGAGGACGACACACACTGGGTGGCTCACAATCATGTAATTTCAGTTCCAGAGGATCCAACACTCTCTTCTGGCCTTCATAGTACCTGCCTATACGTGGTGTATACACACACACACACACACACACACACACACACACACACACACACACAGAGGCATGTACATACACATTTAAAAAAGGCAGAAAATGTGGTCTCCTAGAGGCAATGCTTTGGATGTGGTTAGTCTACGAGTATAAGTGTATTAATTTGATTGACCATAATGATGAGGAATGAAATATGAAAATAAATTCACTATGTTTCTACTAAAGGAAGACAACTGATAGGTAAAACTATTTTCATTTCCAAATTTTTATGTGTCAGCTTAGGAAGGCTGTATAAACTGAAATCCCAGAATGGAAGCAGAGGCGCCTTTCACTTCTTCAGAGTGCATGTCTTTTTCTATATATGATACCAGAACTGTGATGAGAAATAAGATTTAACTGAGAAGAAGCTGAAATTAAAAATGGAAACATTTTCATTTTCAGTCACTTATAAACTATTGTGCTCATTTAGTAATTACTGCTAGGAAGTGGCTGGGAAAGTCACTCTAAGAATCTGCATTACTCAAACTGTCAAAGAGCAGATTCTCAAGAGTAAGCAGCTTAAAGGACAGTAGCTGCATACAGGTAACTGAAGCCACTTGGAATCCATATGGACTTCACTGTTTCAAGGTGGTAATTTTCAACACAACTAACTGAAGGCTTTCGCTTGGAAGCTGTATTTGAGAAGCTAGTGAAGTAGGAGCAGGAGTTAAGGGACAAGTGTTTCCTCCGTTCAGAAACAAAAGGTGATCAAAACTCTTCAAGTGACAGATCTGGAGTGGACATTTTAACGTGTGTATATGTGAACTTTTCAAACTATATTTTGGCAGGACAAACATAGAGTCAAGGATGAGGATGACATTCTTCCACATCTTTAACCCCGTATCATCAATCAGACTGAAGCAGTCTACAAGACAGATCTGTTTACTTTAAAAAAAAAGATTTTTACTCTTTTTGAGAGAGAGAGAGAGAGAGAGAGAGAGAGAGAGAGAGAGAGAGAGCCTGGAACTCCCGAGAAAGAGTGTGTGTGTGTGTGTGTGTGTGTGTGTGTGTGTACACAGACATGGGTGCCTGTGGAGGCTAGAGGTGTCAGATCCCCTGGAGTTAATGTTACAGTTGGTTATGAGCTGCCTGATGTGGGTGCTGAGAATTGGACTCAGGTTCTCTGCAAAAGCAGCAAGTACTCTTAACCTCTGACCATATCTCCAGCCACAGATCTGCTTAAGTAATGTTCATGTAGAGCAATAAATAAGGAAAAATTACTTACTTGGATCCTGACCTTTGGTATTCAGTATCAAACAGAGAGCCACCTTCAAAAGTTCTTTGAGCAGCACTCAAAGCTCAGGATCTCAAGAAACAAAACCCTCCTGCAAAGGCAGAGCCTGATGATGGTTTTGGTGGTGGTGCTGTTTCCTATTTTCTAAACTGCCCTTTAACACTTTTGAAGAAACGCCACCTATCTTTCATTTAATAATTCAATGTATCTTTTGGGCATCAATATATTTCAAATATATGAGATATAAAAGATATTTTACCTTCTGGATCATAGGTTTGGAAAACCCTTCTGGCTTGTTCAGAAGGAGCCTCTGGGGCAACTAAAGCCATATCCTAAAAATATAAAATAAAACAAAATGTGTATTATCTACCAGCTACAGTATCATAACATTCAAAAGAGATACCAGGGCAGGGTGGAGAACAACATCATTTGGAGTCAGAGGTCTTTGAGCTGCAGCTGCATCAAAGACAAGTGGCCAGAGAAATCCAAACTCTCTAGTGATTAATTTTACAATAACAAGATGGAAATAAGACTTAAACCAAAGAAAATTAAGATAATTTTATGCCATGTTCTACATTAACATGTGAACAATCCAACATCACACAAGCAATTACTATAAAATACAATATGTAAAAATTAGTGATTTGTATACTTTTTTACATTATTGTATATTATAAGAAAAATGTTAACTTAAAATATAATTGAGTTTTCAAGGACTCAAAACTCTAAGAGATGTTTCTACTAAGCAAACAATAAATGGACAATTATACATATAGCAACACATTTAATAGTTCTCATTTTAGAAAGCACAATTTAGCAGTATAATAAAAATTTAAACCATTAGGTTCTAGAAGTCCAAAATTTTAGTTTTTCAAAGGTAATAGTCTATGATAAAATTACTCCTTTCCCCCAATTAAAAAAAAATCCTTTATCACAACTGATTTTTTTTAAGACAACTGGTTTCTTTAAAAAAAATATTTATTTTTACTTTATGCGTATGCGTGTATTGCCTGCACATATTTAAGTGCCCCTGTGTTGTGCAATGCCCACAGAGGTCAGAAGAGGGCGTTGGACCCCCGGAACTGGAATGACATATGTTGTTAGCTGCCATGTGGGTGCTCGGAATCAAACCTGGGTTCTCTGCAAGAGCTCTTAGCCACAGTTGGTGCTCTTAATTGCTGAGCCATCTTGTCAGTTCCCACAACTGATTTATTACAGGGAGCACAACTATCAAAATTCTATAGAGCAAAAATTCAGTTCCATGCTATCATTTCTTCATAAAGCTTTATCACACTTACCTATGCTACTATAAAATCCTACTGCTGGCTGACATGAATGCAGAATTGAGCCTCCTGTAGTTTATCTCTGGTCACAGCTTTGGTCTAAGCTATCACCTATATTTGTGTTCACTCAGATAAACATCAGAGAACAAGTTTCCAAGTAACCCTTCCTGTCATTTCATTCAGCCAGGGCCACACAGTAAAACCCAGTCTCACACATACTAAAAGACAACACAACACACATGCGTGCGTGCGTGTACCCCGCCCCCCACAGAGGCTGTGGGATGTTTTGATGCATTCCAATAAAAGATGAAAGATGACCCGACAGTCTGTAAATTTCTGCACTACATTATTATTTTCAATGTTATTTTGCCAGTATTCATTTGCCAAACACTGCTTTCTTTTGTCCTAACTGTCAATGCTGTTTTGAATTCATGATTTGGTCCCTTAATTGCTAGATACTTTGGTGATATGTAATCTTCTGCTATTATAAACACTGCATCAAACAAACATGAAGATGTAATTTGTCGAACAGACTGACAGAGTGTGAATGCTGGACTGAAGGAAGAACACAATGTAATTGTGGACTCTGTAGACTTATGGATTATGTTTCTTTATTTAACTTATTTCAAACAATGTTATTTTTAGACAGGGTTTCAGGTATATCAGGCTGGCCTCAAACTTGTTATGAAGCTGAGGATGACCTTAAACTTAGGATCCTTCAAGGCCTGCCTCCTGAGTGTTGTGATTACAGGTATATACCTCATGCCTGGTTATCAAGAATTAACATTGAAAAATACTGATACTGCCCAGAGTGATCTGTAGATTCAATGTAATTTCTATTGAAACTGACATCACTTTCCATAGAAAAAGGAAAAAAACAGTCCTAAAATCTCTACGGAGCTATAAAATGTCCTACAAATGTCCTAAATAGCCAAGTGATCATGAGCACAAAGAACAAAGTAGGACAACAGTGTGATACGGTAAAAAAACAAACAAATGAACAACAAAAAAACCTAGCAGGCCTAGGGTGGGAGAGATGCTCAGTGATGAAGAGCACTGGCTGCCCTTGCAGAGGTCCCGGGTTTAGTTCCCAGCACCCACATGGTAGCTAACATGGGAATTTCAGTTCCAGGGGATCCAACACTCTCTTCTGACTCTGCAGGCATTGCAGTGACACAGGTGCACTTAAATACATTCAGGCAATAAACACATACACATAAAATAAAAATAATGACCAGTAGAACAGAAAAGAAAGCCCAGAAAAGAAGCCTGGCATGCCAACTGATTTTAAATAAGAGGACCAGTGGGATGTCTCAGTGAGTAAACTCCTTGCTCCCGTGCCTGACCACCTCAATTTAACTCCCAGATCCAGCCCATGTGGTGGAAGGAGAGAACCAATTCCAAATGTTGTCCTCTAACCTCCATATGTGCACACATAAATGCAACTAAAAAAATAATATTAGCAGGTAAAAAAAAAAATCTCTTTAAAAGTGTGGGCAAAATTGAATTTCCACATGTAAAAGAAGGAAATTGGATCCTTAGCCCACACCATATATGAATATCACTTCAAAACAGCAGGACTTGAATGCAAGAAAAAATAAATAAGGGAAAAATTATATAGCATTGGTCATGGCAGTGATTTTTTTTTTATTTCACTCCAAAATCCCAAGCAATAAAATCAACAATAGTCAAATGGGATTATATTAAATTTAAAAGCTTCTGCACTGAAAACAATTGACACTGTGCAGAGACAGTCTACAAATGAGAACATAGTTCTGCAAGCCCTGTATCTCCTAAAAGGATTACTATGCAAAATATATAATGAGCCCAAGCTTAATGGTAAGAAAACAAAAACCCAACTTAAAAGAATGGGAAGGTACACAAATAAACGTTTCACAAAAGACACACAAATGGTCATAAAGTACATGAAGATGTGCTCAACATTACGAGTCACTGGGGAAATGCAAGCTACAGTCACAATAAGAAATAATCTCACAACTGTCAGAAAGACAAATGTCAACAAGGAGTAACTAAGGGAGGCCCTCCCACTGTTAGGAATGAGTGCAAAATAGCTCAACTCCCACGGAGAACTTTATTCAGAGCTGAGAATCCTGTAAACTACAACAACTGGCCTGGCAAGACATGTCCACCACTGGAATTGTGGCACGAATGCTATGGGAGCACCACCACTCTAAGTGGGTCTCAGGTCTGCTTCCTAGGAAGGAAGGACTTGAATGCAAGACACTGACATATCTGATATCAGGCTTAGGAACCTGAGGCTAGACAGGTCACAGGAGAGAACCTAACACTAGTTTTCTATTAAACTGATTCCTAATGACGTATTGCTGTACCCACAGATTAATACATCTCTCACCTCTCACCAGAGAAGTTTCCTTATGCAGCAGATGGTGATTAACACAGAAACCCACAACTGGCCAACCTGCAGAGAACAAGAGGCTGTAGAGTTCTTATCCCTGAACAGGAACCTAATCAAACTTCTGTCTCCCAAGGCTCAGGGATCATTGCAGAAGAGGAGGTATAAGCCAGAGGCAGTGAATGACCACAAGGGAAATTTTCCAGACAGCTGATCAGTTACTCATATGAACTCAAAGCAATTGAGATAGCGTGTACGAGTCCCATACAAGCTCAAACCAGAAAAATTCCCAGCATAAACATGAGGAAGGGGGTAAGAAGCTCCAACCCCACCTAAGGAAACAGTGACAACAGATGGCTGCTGGGAGGGGCAGAGACAGTCTCTTTCAAGTATAGGACTCTTGGTAGGTTAACCAGGCTCCAGTGGATGGACCCACACTGAAGGACATTTGAAGGTACAAGTTAGACTTTATTGATATAAAGACTAATATATATATATATATATACACACACACACACATACATACATACATATTAGTGTACATCAAATTGAATGGGAGGCAATAAGGAGGTGTGGATAAGGGAGGAGATCTAAATACCATCAAATTATATTTTATAAAATTTGCAAGAATTCAATTTTAAAGAATATAAAAAATTAGAAATAGAATTACTGTTAAGATCCAGCAATTCTATTCTAAGTATTCACCCTAAAGATTTTAAATCAAAGAGATCTGTACCATCATGTTCACTGTGAAGTCACAGAATCAAGCCAAATGTCTCTTAACAGATGAAGGGATTAAGAAAATGTGCACACAATAGAATACTACTTGTTCTTAAAAAAAGAAATGCTGTCATTTGTATCACCACTGATGGACGTAGAAGCTATTTAAGTAAGCCAGGTACAAGAAAGCAAAGATTTTTCAACTTCTCCTTTATGTACTAAAGTCTAAAGCAAGTGAACGCAGAAGCAGAGAGCAGAGGGTGGTTATGGAGGTGGGTTAGGAGGAATGGGAAGACGTGCCATCAAAGCGTGAAGGAAGCGGACTGAAAGAATTTTTTTCCTTTCGGCTCCACTGCATATCGTAATGAAGAAAGGTAATACATGTTGTCCACTTCAACACTGCTGAGATGGCAAATTTCAAATGTTCTCCAAAAATATGTTACCTATTGGAGGTGACAGCTGTTAACTACCTTGATCTAATTAGTCCAGTGTGTTCATAAATTATAATATTACTTTTATTCCACAAATTTCTACGGGTATAAATTATCAGCTCACCATTAAGAAGTAAAATAGTACTGTGAGTGAAAAAGCAAGCAAAACAATCTTCAGGAGGAGGAGGTGGAAAACATAATCCAGCATTATCCTAACATTCCTATGAAGTGAAATTTGAGAAATGGACTACTGTTTGTAAAGTTGAAATAAGGAAGACTGCCCAGTTTTTACATGTACAGGAAGATTATTTCATACTCCCTGACACTGGAGGCATCTCAAAATGCAGACATGCAGAACAGAACTTAAAATAACCTGATGCTTCATCTGTAAATTCCAAGTGTTGATAAATAAAAACATATTCCAGGCTAAACTAGAAAACTTAATGCTCACCTCTTGCCTCTGTTGGCAAGATTCCTAGTATAAAGACCTGTGGCTGAATGATCCACAAAACAAATTTGGTTGT